CAAAACGTACTCTAGTTTTGCTTCAAGCAATGGAGTTTTCTGGGTAAAGTATTCTGCTGGTGCCCTAGGTGGTTCTCTAGGTGGCACAGCTATTACTTGCCTCTCTCACCATTTTCTGTCTGCCCCTGAGTCTTTGATGTTCTGTGCTAGAGAAAATCTTTATCTTGTTCCTGCCGTAAAAACTACATGGCTATTTATTTCTCTCATCTATTGCTGAATTTTCAGAATTATATTCTTCACCTCTGCTTCTGTTTCTTCTCTGTTCTTTTAACTTTTTTGAAATCCAACCACCAGGATAATTTCCACAAGCTAATTGACCTTCAATAACCACTTTCTTGTTGGGTGACAGAGAATAATTAATTGTGTTTATTTTAAATTTATTTTTTATTGAGGTAAAGTTGGTTTATATCAGTATATTTGTTCTAGATGAAGGGATTCACCTCTCCTCAAATGCATGTCACCTCACAACACCCACTGTCAAAATACTTTTCCTTTACCATAGGGCACTGGGTTTCTACTGCCCATTTTTTCCTCTCCAACACCCTGTCCTTTGATATCCTCATTAATACAGTAGTCATTCAGGTATGTTGTTCAGTCTCTACATTAGAGATTTTTCCTTCTATTTTTTTTTTGTTGTTGTTGTTGATTTCTAGTTAAGTACTTTTGTGATTAGACAGATCACAGTGATGCGAGTTCACGCTTTATGAATTTTTAGCATTTGTTTAGTGATCTAACATGTGGTCTACCCTGGAAATGTCACATGTACACTTGAAAAGAATGTGTATTCAGCTTTTTGGTGTGTAATAAATGCCTTTAGGGCCATCTGGTGTAATTTCTCATTTAACACTTATTCTTTTTTTCTTGTTTATTTTTTGTCTAGTTGATCCGTCCTTTCATGTGAGTTGAAATTCCCTACTAATATATGTTACAGCCAGTGTCTATGTTAGGATTGGTAATAGTTTTCATCTATATTTTGCCACTCCTTCATTTGGTTTAGGTATATTGATGAGTGCTGTGTGTTCTTCATGTATTTATTCTTTTCCATTATGCATATCTTGTTTGTCCATTCCTCTCTCTTACCTATTTTATTTGGAAGTTTATTTTATAATAGCCTTTCTTTTGTGTCCCATATGCTTGGAGGATTGTTTTCCAGTCATTTACTTTCAACCTATATTTACCACTGGAGAGCAGATGAGTCTTCTGGAAAAAGCAAAAGCTGGTTTTTGTCATAGAACCTGCTACTCAGTACTTTTGTTCAGTCCATTGTGTTTAACGTGATTATGGATATATAGGGATTTATAGTTGCCATTTGTTTTTAAGATATCATAAAATATTTTAGACTGTGTACAAAATTAAGGCAATTATATCAGTACTTACAAATCTATTTAAAAATTATAAATATTCCATAACCTTTAGGCCATTAGAACACAGACAGGCTGTCAGATTTGGTTCTGGGCATAATTTGCTCACCTGTGGCAAAAAGAAAAATTAAGGCTATAATTTTCATAATATACAACAAACCAGAAGATGGGAGTTTTCATCTGAGAAAAGCTATTGGATTTTATCATCCTAATTAATTGCCATGAATTTATGGGCACCTCACTCTTTAGTTTTCTTGGATGTTTTTCTCATGATTATATGAAAAAATTACCTGATCCTGAGTGGGGATGAAGGTAAAAGTGGTAGTAATGATATTCTTGATGCTGGAAGTAATATAGTAAAAGTTCACAATTTACGGACAGTATTTGAAGGTATTCATGTAAAAAACACGGGATCAGATTGTAGAAAGTTATAAATGCCATTCAAAGTTTAGTTTTATTTTCTATAGGTCAATATATTTCAAAGTGGGAAAATATGTTGAGTGGTCCACAGACCATTGTTTTTTTTTGTTTTTATCTTTAAAATATTTTCATTTTAATGGAAATTAGAAAAATACAGCTGACCATCAAATCTGGGATTTTCAATATAATGTAGATACAGCTAAGTGTAGTTGAGTGTAAAAAATTAAAAAAAAAAGATTTGCTAATAGTTATTGATAACTTATTTTTATAAGATACTCTTAGAGCATTTTATACATATTTATTCATTTACTCCTCACGTGAACTCAGTGCGCTGTTATGTACTATTACTATATTCACCTGATATGTTGATATAATTAATGCACAGAGGTTAAGTAACTTTTTTCACAGGTAATGGTGGATTCAGATCCAGGCAAGCTGATTCCAGAACCTGTATTCTCAACTGCTGTGCCTTCAGCTACATTGTTAATATGTAACTGTAATTAAAATATTGAATGCAATAGGTAAATAGCTTAAGTTTGTAAATATTACCTTATGAGAAGTATAGAAGGTTCTTAGAGTAATGGTTTAATTGAACTATTCTATACAAACTGAAATGATAATGATATAATGCATTTTTGAGTTGAAGGAATGAGATTAAATTTGGGGTTACCAATTTATGAATGTATAGGTGTAGGTTTGGACAAAAGCAGTTGACCACTTTTGTTTTTAGGAGAGGTGGAGAAAAGAAAAAAAAAAGAGGTAGGCTATATGAGCCACTATACAGACACACTGGACAGGTGGGGTTGACATATATAGAACCTTTGTGAAGAGTCAAAGATACACAGTTTGCAGCCTGAGAGCAGAGTAATACCTTTGGCAAATAGATCAAGAAAAAGGGACATACTTGACAAATGGATTTTGTTTTAAAAATATATTTCTCATAAAGAAAAAAAATCTAAAGAATACAGTGGGAAATTAGCACATATGAAAGTTTTGTATGATTGTCAGGCCTAGAGATATATATTTTTCTTACAGAAGAAGTGATATATAGTGAGTAAGAATGATAGAGGTCAGCAGGGTCTACAAGCTTTTCCTTAAAGCCCCAGATAGTAAATATTGCAGGCTTTTGCTTATGAAGAGGCAAAATCAAAAGTAATTTTTAAAATATCACTTTTTTAAAAAAGATTTATTTAGTTATGCATACAGAACTGGGGTACAGGCCAGAGATGCAGGGGTGGTGAGAGAATTCACCAGAGACAGAGTGGGGAGCAGAACAGGC